ATCTATCTATCTATCTATCTATCTATCTATCTATCTATCTATCTATCATCTATCTCTACTGAAGGCAACAAACTTATCTAATACTCCTACTTGCTATTCTCCCCACAACAAAATGCTGCCAGGTGGGTTGAGCTGAGAGTGAGTGTCTGGCCAAAAGTCACCAGCTGGCTTACATGCTTTGTCCTGGTTTCTAGGCCAGCATCTCAGCCACTACTCCAAATTGGCTTTGTAGTAATCCCTGAAAAAGAAATCCTGAAAAGAAAACAATAAGAACCTCTATTATTATATTTGCACCTGATCTAAATCCCATTTTTAAGGTAGATTATTGGGAGAAAGAGCTAATTGGGTGTAGGAAGACTGAGATCTAGGTCTGCTTCAGACATGAAGGCCATTGAGGGATCTTGGCTCAGGCCGTCTCTTTTAGCCCTAGGAAGCAGGCAAGGGGAAGTCACTTCTGAAATCTTGCCTAGAAAATTGCAGGGACTTACCAGGCATCAACATTAACTATAAGGTTAAAAAAATGGGAGAAAAGAATAGGTATTTTCGGGTTGCATAAAACTTCACATCTAATTTTAGAGAGATGCTTAAGAATATGCTTGAGCATAAGTATACCACTTGTCTGCAACTCTTTAAAGCAGATGCATCTTTTCTTTGGATCATGTGGCTACCAGATGACATGATCTGGGGAAAGAGTTGTAGATTGATTCTACTTTCATGCCTTCCCATGTCCAAGAATGTTGAAACAGAATTTATTTCATTGTTTTAAAAAAAATAACAGAAATTTATATTTCTGCATTTGATCTGAAATGTTAATGTCTCAGAAGTAAGGCAACTATGAAATTAAACATAGATATATTGATAAATTTTATTTTGAGAACATTTTAATTAGTATCATAAATAATTTTATAGGCTAGTATGCTGTAATGTATTTGAGATTTTTTGAAAAATTTTGAATTTTTCTTTAAAAGGTACATTTGAACTTCTTGTTGTTCCTGTTTCGGTTAGCAGAAGAAGCCAGGACCAAGGCTATTGAAGAAAAGAGTAAAATAATTAAATATGAACATGTTGTCTCTTCCGCAAAGGTAATCATACTTAAATTCTTTCTTGAATCTTACTTTGCATACTATAATGTTAAAACTGTATACAATTGTATTAAATTCTAAGGGAGTACTCAGATAATACTTGTATAAATAAGATATTTGTTAAAACTTTATTATAGTGAGAAAAATAATCAGTGTTGTATAATTATATTATAAATTTATGTTAGAACGTGTATGTTCAAATTAGGGTGTCATTACTAAAACATAGATCAACAAATTGTATTAAATGTAACAGATTTTTACAGTAATTTTATGTGCTAAAATATAGTTAAATTAATACAGTAAAAGGAATATTCATTACAAGGATATTTTAACTCCCACAAAAAGAACTTTGTGGTAATCTAAATGGAAGGTAACTATAGCATTGGCTACCATGACCAGGCCATCCCTGTCCAAAAAGTTCAGGGACACTGGATGTGACATTGCTGGTTAAAGACATGATTACCTATGCCATCTAGGCCTCAAAAGATAAAGATGAATCCAAGAATACATAGGCTTTCTACTTGTTCCTTCAGAAGGAGTGCGGCTCCAAAGAGTGTTAGATACCTATCTAATAGCCAAATCTGTGAGCAACCAATCCATAGGTCTTGCCGAGTTTTGTGTTTTTCCCAGTAACAGGATTCAAACACTGCCTTACTTTAATAATGGGAGGGATAAAGCTCTATAGGATCACCCAATCACAAGCCCCTGATGGCCTCACTTGATACCTTTGTATAGAATATAAACAAAGGTAACAAAATGCAGGATCCCATGATGGCTAAGCCAAGCCAAAGCCTGCTAAGATCAAACCAGGAGGGAGCATCCTCCTCCTAGTTCATCCAAAATAATTGACTCAGCCAGACGGTATAAAAAGCTGCCATAAGGTTAAAGAAAATGAACAACCCCCTCCCCCCAAAGCAAGTCATCTTAGTTTAGGCCAACCAAAGCAGTTTCACTGCCAAAATCAAACTTGAACATTGAATGGATTGGATCAGGTAATCTATATCATCCAGGAACATATGAAACTAATCACCCATTATCTTCTCCTGTGGGATATTTGCAGTAGAATAATATTCACAATAGTTATGATTCTCTTTAGAAGACCCCACACCATTCCCTCTTTCAAAAGAATATGGAATGGAATATTTACTTCAGTCTAGACATCCTAAATTTTTCTACTAGGTATCGATAAATCCTAAACTGTATTTGCATTGCTGATTTAAAGAAATGAAAAGACACATCTTAATTGATACAAAAGTCTTATTTACCGTATATACTCGAGTATAAGCCGAGTTTTTCAGCACATTTTTTGTGCTGAAAAAAAAACCCTCGGCTTATACTCGAGTGAGATTCCCCTCTGAAAAAAAAATGGTGTGGAGCTCCGGAGCTGGGCAGCCGCTTCCCTGCTTCCGTGTTTCCTTTGCAACTTTTAAGCATGGGGGTAATCGGAAGCAGAAAAGTTCTTGCATGAGGATATAGTTTTTTCTTTTTTTAACTGTTTTTAGGGGGGGGGGGAAGACCCACCGTCATGTGAGAATGCTCAGACATGAAATCTATCCGCCCGAAAATAATTGTGTGTGTGTGGGGGGGGGGAATTTTAACAGAGGGAAGATGTAGGGAGAAGACAAAAGCGACGGAAGATCCTTCAGGGGAAACTGAGGGGGAGACTCACCCTTGGTCCAGATGAGCCCCCTTCCCCACCCCTAAGGAAGCAGAGGCAGCCAGCAAGGGCAGGCAAGCCCCACTTCACAGACTCC